TCCCCTCCCCTCCCCCCGGAAGCTCCGTCCCGGCATTGCAGGGATGCGAGGTCAACGGTCTCCCGACTAGTACGGCATGCACTTACATGAGTGCACTCCCCCTCACCTGGCCGATCAGGAGCGCCTCACCCAACTCCTCCGGGGTGACCGTCACCGCGACCGCGCCTGCCCCCGCGCCGACCTCGTCCTGGCCCGCCTGCAGCACCTGAGGGATCTGCCTTTCTCTCCTCCCCGGCAGCGGGTTGTGCTGCGAGTCGGTTTCTGCTGCCGCTTTCTCGGCCTCGCCGCCGGCCTTCCGCGCCCGGCCCCCACCGGGACCCTGGGGGGAGTAGACCGCCCTGCCACCGGCGTCGGAGACGTGACAACTGCAAGGGAGGGAAGCGAACGCGAGGAGGAGGTGGCGTGAGATGATGCTGCCGGGGCTGGGATGAAATTCACAAAAACACGCGAAACAATGCCCAGCAGGCGCTTCTTTGCATGTGCGGGTCTGTCTGTCTCGGACCAAGGCAGGTGAAACTAAATTCTGGACACGACCAGCCACTGGAGGCGCCGGATGAGACGGTCAACAACCTCTTCGCGGGCAAGGCACGGCAAACCCCGTGACGACGCCTGTGGGCCAGGCTCTTTACCTCTCCATATTATTACTTTCTGCTTCGCCACCGCATTCGCATCACTTCTGGACCGCTTGGACGTTCAATGCAACAAGGCACTACTTCCCACACACACACACCTCTTGCGAGTGCATCATTCGAGCTCTGCGTCCGAACAAGCACACGTGCTCTCTACCGAGCGGCTTGCTCCACTCCTGCGCCAAAAACAAGAACCGTCCACAACCGCTGTCCACACCTGTCGTAACCCCCTGTTGCCAGGAACTTCCCGAGGACACCGTCGACCGTGTCCGGCTTCTCCTCCTCCTCGCCGCCCCCCCCAAGCCCGTCGCCGCCCAGCACATCCTGGTCGTAGGCGAGGGCGGCACCCGCGCCCCGCATCCGGTCCTCCTTGCTGCTGCGAGCGCCGCCGCTGCCGCCGCCGCCGCCGCCGCCACCCTCGACACGACAAGCGTCTTGCTGCCCGCCGGCTGGCGCCGGTCTTTCCGTCTGGTCGCCCTCCTTGTTGTTCACACTTGCATCCCAAGGCGTCGTCTCCGCTGCCTCCCCCTGTGCCACAGGACCCAGCGACTCGCCCTCTGCCGCGCAAACTCTCTCATCGCGCCGTAGCGGTGGTGCCCCCGCCTGCGATGCCGCTCCAACGTGCTCCGGGTGGTGTCTTGGTTCGTCCGCGCCGCCCCGCGGCGTCGGTGATGCGTCGTCGTGCCATCCAAGGCCATCATTGTCCGCTTGAAGGAGCCGGGCGACGGCGACTGCTGGTGCTGCTTCTGCTGGTGCTGCTTCTGCTGGTGCTGGTGCTGGTGCTGTTGCTGTTGCTGATGCTGATGCTGTTGCTGGTGCGATTACTGCTGCTGGTGCTGGTGCTGTTGCTGTTGCTGGTGTTGCTGGCGTTGCTGGTGCTGGCGCTGCTTCTGCTGCTGGCGTTGCTCGGTCTCCCGCTGCAGAAGGAGGGGTGTCGTCCCCCCTCCGTCCCCACGACCCGCCGCCGCTGTTCCGCTCGCGGCCATGCCCCCGCGCCCACCGAAGCCACCCGTCTCCCAACCCCACACCGCCGTCGCCGTCTCCTTCTCCGCCGGGAGAGTTGTTGACCACCCCCCACTGACGGTCGATAGCCGGGGGCGGTGGTGATCGATGCCGCTCAGCGTCCTCCATGCGGCGTCCTGCCCAGCGACCGATGCTCGGCGAACCTCTGCGGTATGCGCCGCCCCAGCTTGACCCCGGGGTCTCCGGGCGCCTTCGTTTCTTCGAGAGGGGAAGGGTGCCTCCCTTTGCAGGCGCGCCTCCAGTCTTGGGCGACGACGAAGATGATGCCATCCAAAGCGCTGACCCAAGCGGAGCGGTGCCGCCAAAGACGGGTGCCGCTCCCCACGCTCCGGGGGTATCACCATCCCCCCGGCAAGGAAACCCGCGGCTGGGCTGATGAGGGCTCGTGGTGGCCCTTGCCGGGCTTCTGGTCCGAGCACCAAGCTGTTGCTGATTAACTGGGTTGCATGTCCTCGCGCCGCCGCCGCCGCCGCCGCCGCCGGTCTCTCGGCTCGGTGGTGGAAGTGTCTCACGCTGCCGGGCCTCCGGCGGGGGGCTTTGCTGCCGCCCGGGGGAATAAGGTGCCGGGGGGGGGACGCCGGCACCGCCGGGGGAGGAGCGCTCCTCGTTCATGAAGGCAAACTGCGGGCTCGGCGGGCGTCGCACCGTAACGCCGACGAAGGCCTTCCTCCCCGCCACCGTTCCGCCGCCGCCGCCTTCACCCCTCGGCAGCAGCCGTGGCGACGAAGACCGGACGCCACCGCGCACGCCCCACTCGTCGAGCGCTCCGGTCCGTTCCGGCCCCGTCGGGAGCCGCCCGTCGCTGTCGGCGAAAGCGTAGTCGAACAGCCTCGACAGGCTACCCTGGTCCGCGGCATCATTTTCCAGCTGCTGCTGGCCCTGGACGAGATCCTCCTCACCCGGGCGCATCTCTGTTACGCCCTGAAGATGCCGGAGCCAGCCCCCACGCCTGCTTCCCCTCGTACTACTAGCAATCGAGGGAGGAGGAGGAGGACCACCGCCTCCGCTCTGCCACCGCTGTCCGTCGTTACGGCTGCTGTGGCGGCCGTTGCCGCGGTTTTCTTGCGCGCTACTACTAGTCTCGTTCGGCGGCGGGGGGTCATCAAAGACGGGCTCCTCCTCCGACGACGGCGGCAGAAAATCGGACGTTCCTATTCCGCCAGGAGGGCCTTCCGCCGCCCACCCCCCGCCGGAAGAATCTGCGTGGCCCCGAGAACCTCGCGTCTGGTCTCTCAGTGCGTTGTCTTCGATGCCGAGACCCTCGTAGCGAACGGCGGCGAAGGAAGGAGGAGGGTAGGGGGCGCCAGCTTCTGCACCCAAGGCGGAAGGGCGGGGATCCCACATTCGTCTTCGGCGCTCCTCCTCGCCGCCGGTATACTCACCCAGGGCGAGTTGTCGCCCGCGGAGCCGTTTATCAGGAGGGCTGCGGCGGCCGTCGTAGTGATGGCAGCGGGCAAAGTAGGGCGAGCTGGTCGGGTGACCGTCGTCGTCGTAGCCCTCGTGGTAGCGACTCTTGCCGTCGTCTTCGAAGCTTGCGGCGAAGTACGGCGACACGGCGACGCTGCTGCCGGGGACGTTGTCGTCGCCGATACCGCCGCCGGGGATGAAAGAGAGGCCCGGCATTCGCCATGATGATGATGATGGGCCGGTGTCACGAGCACCGAAACGGGAGGCCGGAGAAGGGTAGAGAACACCCTCACCCCGGGATCCTTCGTCCTGAAACTCCTGAAGGGAAGGGAAAAAAAGAACGGGCCAATCGGCTAATGGACTGCCTCAATACCTCCCTCAAGGCAGCACGAAAGAACGACCGGCGAACAGGCCCCCGAGGAGAGGGAGAGCCGACACTTCTCGACAAGGTCGGGCGACGATGGAGAACGAGCCTCAAACAAATTTCGGTCGTCGAGAACACGAGGAAATATAAACATATCCCATGGAGAAAAATTGAGACGTGGGGAGTGTATGCGGATGTCAAAGCTATTAGCTGCTGGTCGCGAGCTCTGCCACGCGAATCCTTGTCCGTCGCCGACAATGCTGTTGTTGTTGTTGTTGTTGTTGTTGTTGTTGTTGTTGTTGGTGGTGGTGGTGGTGTTGATCATGATGCTGTTGTTGTTTTTGTTGCTGTTGTTAACTTCACATTAATCACCAAAAATCCGGTATCCGCTCAGATTGGAAGAAAAAAAAAAACACCCAACTACGCACCATGGCCTCCACGCCGATCCCGCCCACCTCCCGGTCTCGACCCATCCAGGCGCAGCTCTCCAACGGCGAGCCCGCGCCCGCCGGAGACACCCCCACGTCCGGCGTACCCAGCTGCATGGGGGGCGGAGACGGTGACGGCCCCGGGTCGGGTGAGGCTCCGCGGGCGGCGGGCGGCGGTGGCGGGCTGGCCGGCTTCCAGGCATCGCCGCCACCGCCTTCGTTCTTGTGGAACGCCCGCCGGAGGTCCCGTAGGACGGAGCTAGGCACTGCGTGCGGGAAGCGGGACAGGAATGCCTGAAGAGGAGGGAATTGAGGCATAATAAAGAACATCGAACGTTTTTTCGGATTTAAAAAGAAGAAAGCAACTGCTTTTTTGTTGTGTGTGTTTTTTCGAGCGATGAAGCAGGCGAGGACGGTCATCCGAAAACGAGACGTCGAAGGTAACTTCGGTGACGCAGCAAGTAGGTCGTGTGCGTGTGAATGGATGGTCATCTGGGAGCCGCGTCGCGTTGGCGGTGGGGCGCCTTGCTAAGAGTTCCTCACCCGCGAGACGAGAAGCGCGGGAGAACAGAAAACACAAGCTCCCACACACTACTGGACAACTAAACGAGTACGGAGAGGAGGGAAAACGAAAACACCACCAAATCAACACAACTTGGAGACAGCCCTCGAGACGCACACCACACACACGACAAAAACACAAGGGCCTCCCTTTAACCCCGTAAATTGATAAAAGTAGGCCATCTCACCAGCAGCGTCAATATCCAACTCAATGCCAACTCACCAGCAGCATCGATATGCACGCGTTCCTGGCGGCGGCCCAGTCCGAGAACTCGATCCACGTCTTCTCCGGATCCGACATGATGTCTACCTCGCTCCGGGGGCACTCGAGGTTCAGCACGAACACCGGGAACAGCTCCTGATTTGGGCGGTAAGAACGCGGGCGCGTGCACAGCGGTGCTGGTTCGAGCAAGGCCCGCTTCGTCCCTCATGGTGTGAAGCTTGAATCGGGCGAGGCGCCGCCTACCATATGTGCATCAACGTTTTGGCACGAAAGGATCGTCTCATGACCGAAGCGCCAAGAGCGGTTGCCGTCGATCTCTCCGACCCTGCTTCGTACCAATGCCTAGACCGCGAGGTACCACAAAACGAATCTTTCACGTCCACGCTGAAGATGATGATGCAAACACCCCGCGCCGCCCCACCTTCCCGATGCCTATAGCCAATACACCGAGTATTCACCAACAGTTGCGACATGAAAAAGGGGGACAATTGTCTGTCACGACAACAAACGCGGGTACCGCATGCCATGCTCTCAGCCCAAGCGGTGCAAAATGAACGGTTCCACACGATGACAAGAAATGGGTACTGCTGTGGCGTCCGTGCTGCTGCTTCGTGGCAACCGGAACAAGATAGCGCGATCGACCAGAAACATTACAACCGTCGGCCCTTTCGAACCAACCTGTCACAACTTAATCACCCACGCGACCTGCAATTGCCAACGCGTACAGCCTCTCGTGTCCGTGCGTGTCAACTAGCACCGAAAGGCTACCAACCTCCGAGGGAGAGTAAAAAACAAAACAGCCTTGACACCCGCCTGCCGCTGCCCGGATGACGCGTTGTGGTTCCGCACTCTGCGGACGACCCCCTGCCCGTCGGCGCCCCCGCGGCCGGCGAGGAGGGCCATGCACGGCGCGAAGGCAGCGTTGACGGCCTTCTGCAGGAAGTCGAGCTTCCGGACGCTCTTGCAGTTAACGTACACGAGCTGAAGGTTAGGCAAGCAGGCAGGCAGTCAGGCAGGCAGGTAGGCAGGCGGTCGCGGTGGCAGCAGCAGCAGCAGCAGCAGCGAAAAACCCGTACGTATGAAGAAAGCAGCGTGCGAGAAAAGCGGCGGGTACTGTAAGGCGTGTGTTTGTTATCGTAGGGGATGGTTTCGGGATAGCAAATAAAGCAGCGGAGTTTTGTGCTAGAAATAGGATGGCCGTTCCTAGGGTCAGGTGAGGGCTTTCGCACGGCACGGGGAAAAAGACGCAAATGGAATAAACAACTACAGAGGGTGGGCCAGGTTGGTGACTAGTAGTGTTGGAAAGAACGTGCTGTCTCAGCGATCAAAAGTGACTTTTTCGAAGACACTCGTCGAAAACAATTCCAATCCCTCACCTCGACTTGTACCCGGACACGGAAAAAACCGCCAAAAAGACCCCGCGGACTAAAAATTCCATGCACGCGCAAGCGCTTCGTTATCCACCCGCATCAGCAGCTGAGGCGCTTGACCTATTTCACACCAAAACTAGGCACCCCACTCCACCGGTCCCAATCCCAGGGGTCACGACTGGTCACGCTTGTACAACGTGGACACGAAAACAACGAAGCAGTTACCTGGAACTCTTTGGACCAGTGGCATGCGGTCGACGAGGGCGGGGACAGGTACCCCGTGATCCGAAACTGCTTGAAGTTGAAGGCCAGCTGCGGTGGACGTACGTACGTGACCGTCGTGGCCCGGGGGGTTCGCAACAAATGCGGTCGGTTTGTTGACGCGCGGCGCAGCTTGGCAAAGCATACCAGACGAGGAGCATGGCATCACGAAAGACACAAAACGTCCAGTGCCAGGCTCAAGCCGTACTGCCAAACAATCGTCTTTGGTGTTGACGAGGTTGGTTTGTACGGCAGCAGCACTGTCATCTCGCACCCTCAGCGAGCTAGTGGGCCTGGCGCGCTATGGCGCCCCAATGCTTCGTCCGGGCGGAGGACAAAAGCTGTCGCCCGTCTTTGCCGCAGAATGGTTTGCATTCTAGAGTTGGTCATGGACACGTTCAACCGGGACGGAATTTCGGAGTCGAAAACTGGCTAGACCCCACAAGGTCTCACTGCACACAGCCGTAATATGTAGGTAACTCGGTCATACCACGGCTGGCCCATGGTCTTTGTGGAGGTGTGCCTAGAGGAATGGAAATGCTCGTCAGCAACGGGAGCTAGCGCAACGGGACGCTCAACAATGAGCCGGTTGGAATCATGATAACCGGCATAAATGCACAGCGCTAGCGCCCCTTGGAGTCGAATGCACCCGCCGTGACAAGAAGAGCAACATTTACTGACAAGCCTGTTTGAGAGAAATTCGGAATCATTTGCCCGAGGGGGGGCAATAACCGGGTGGCGGTTCAACTCCAAAACTGTTAGTGGTACCCTAGATGCAACCATGACAAAATTGGTAGAACCGAACCTTGATCACTCGAGCGATTACTTTTCAAGCCGCCAAAAGCAACACCATGTACGGGATACACCGGAGTTGGAAGGTGTCATACCGCGTGGAAAATGGAAAAACCCACCATACCGCTTCTGCTGCCGATGCTGCAAATACAAAAAGGAAGGTGGATCCACCATCGGGGGTTCGCAGCCTTACTCGTGACACAAACAGAAAACTCCACCTTTCTGGCCAGCGAGAGCTTGTCGGACGAGAAGACCTGGGCGAAGGTTCTGGTTGCGCTCCCCGTCGCGGTGGCCCGTACCACCTCCTTCGACTTGGCTGCGGGGACCCCCCAAAAAGCACGGGCCAGTGCACCCGCAGCAGGATTAAAAAGGTAATGAGATTGGTGGGGTCACGACACACCAGACAGGATCCGCTTGCTTCTGGCGCGGCCGCGGGCTGAAGTGTGCGGCTCGTTTTGGGGCAGAAACCGTCTCCACTGCTGGTTGGACGTTCCCGCAACGCAAAGACGTCGAACCAAGCCAGAAATCGGTCTTGCCGGTAGCGTTTTGGCTGCGTGGGTACACGGCTGTGCGCACCCTTCACAAAGGGCACGATCGTCAATATGTGCTCACCGGAGTCTTGCACGGTGATCGCGACGCTGTTGTTCACCAGGGCCATCCTCGACACGCAGTCCTTGATGCGTGTCATCTCCGTCACCTGATGTGTGGCAGGGCGGATGATAGGGTTAGGTGTGGTTTGTTTCGTCCTGGTCCATAAACAAAGAAACACGATTTGGTGTCCGCGACGTGTCAAATCACACCTCGCGACGTGTAAGATATGGAGGGAACCGATGACCGCACGCCAGGTACAAGCCCACGTAACATGGTATAGCGCAGGCATGGCTTGTGCCGAGGGTGTATACCATCTACGGCAGAATTCCTTCAACACCCAATGAGGGATATGATTGCGCGGGAAACGACGGCACTATTTGTCGCCTTCAAACTACTACGACAGCCTTGGACGACAGCACAGCGTATTTATTCAGATCAACTCATCCCAGCTTTTCGTCGCGAGGTGGTGCACCTCGTTGGCTGCCTTTCGACGCACGGGCCACTTGAAGAACGCATCCCGCAGAGTGACGATCGTGCCCGCGCGCGCGGGTGCTCGGGAGGGGCCGAAGTGTAGCACTTCACCCTCTCGGACCACCTGCAGCAGCAGCAGCAGCAGCAGCAGCAGCAGTAGCAGCAGCAGCAGCAGTAGCAGCAGCAGCAGCAACAACAACAACAACAACAGCAACAGCAGCGGCCTCACAGACAGCACTTGGTCTTTTAAGGGAAGTCGGCAGTAGCAGCATGAGCAGCAGCAGCAGCAGTAGGTCGTTCACGAGGATTCTACGTTTTATCCGGCGTCAAGCCTCTTCTCGGAAGAGGAGGAGGAGCGATCCCATGGCGAGAAAGATCTGCACCAGCATATTTTTGGTGACTGGGTTGTTGCAAAATGCATCTGTTTCGGAGGCTTCCCGGGACGGGGCTGTCCGTGACGGACCGTCCGAACACGGGCCTGCGCTCGAGTTACCGAGATACCGTCCCTGTGAGCCTCTCTCTGAATGCCAGTCGGTCGCTTTGCGTCTGGCCCGATGCACATTCTGCTACGTGGTAAATCCTCCTTCACCGTACGGCATCACTTGCGTAGTTCGCCCCCCAGAACCGTAGCGCTGAGATATACCATGGTGTGCAAAAAAGGCTGAAAACGGTGTGTCGTATTCTATAAGAACTCATGCCGGGAGCACACCTTGGAGCGCCGCAACAAAGTCTGATGAAACGTGCCGACAGGTTTCCACATTCACGATCCACCAAGACGTTGACCCCACCTTTGCATGCGGTTCCTTTCCAGCGTAGCGGCTCTGGATCTCCAGCAAGGACGTCAAGGCCAGGCTGTAGAGCGCCTCTCCTCGAAACCCGTAGGTAGACGCGTGCTGCATCTCCACGGCGGAGTTCGCCTTTGAGCTTGCTGAAGCGTCACCGCGGTGGCGACGGACGCAAGCGGCGACTTGTTGTAAGCTGGGTTACAGTTTGGGATAGAGTGGGGCTCATTGAATATGCACGAGCTACAGAGTCCAAGAGAGCAGACCCATCCTATAGCCCATTAGTGTGCCTCTCACACAAACAGCGCTGATCGCCCTACTCGGCTGTTGCCACTGTAAGGGGCATGCATCGGACATTGACCTTCACCGTGAAGTTGGGTAAAAATTTACAGTTTTTCGTCGATTAGAGGGGGTCAGGGTTTACACGCTGCGTATCCTTCTCACCTCGTTCTGTGGCGGTGAGCGACCGCAGCGTCTCTGCCGGAATGCCTCTGCCATTGTCCACAACTGTGATCCGGTACGATGGAAGGTCTACCTTGACTTGCACGGAGGTTGCACCTGCATCGATACTGTTCGAGACCACTGCTCGTATGTACAGCAGTAGTTGAGGGCAGCAGAGGAAACAAGAGTACGATCTGGGTTAAGCGAGTGAAACAAGAGAGAGAGAGAGAGAGAGAGAGAGAGAGAGAGAGAGAGAGAGAGAGA